AACTGATGTCCCGTGCTGTCTATTCTGATCTCCACAACACGGACTACACAGCTTTACATCGTAGTTTTTCGAAAATGAGTCGCATGTTTTGCATTTTATACGATTAAGCTACTCACATTTGACTTCATGCGAAAGAATTAAGCCAAATTTATCTGTTGACCATTCACATCTACTGCATGCTGACGTTCTAACACCACTATCCGCCTCGCATTCTGACTAATTTCCATATGTATCAGGTTGCACAGAACTTATTCTAATGATGTACCTGGCCCGCTGTCTAGTCCACAACAATAAGGCAATCAATGATTTGTGCACCGGTTTCCGAATCAGCACGTATACTTGCCCTGGAACGCCCTCGTTACCCATGTTAGTTTTGTCTTATCTGTGACCTACAGTGAGAGCAGTTTCTTCATTCAAGGTTATGGCTTAACGCCTACAAACATTTTGTAAATACAAAATTCCAATACGCATATCCTCAGGGTTAGTTGAGTAAACTCACCTAAATGAGGTTCGTTGAATTTATGTTCGAAGTGAATTGGCAGTTGTTTTTCATTTAATAAATCCTTCCATAGTACAAGTGCAGATGGAGGTACACCAAATGAGTTGGATTTTGCACATGTTTACTTTCTCATTTCATTATCTGTTTTCTCCACACGGATGTAAGTACTCAACTAATACTTGCACCGAATAGAAATTTTTCGAGTAAAACACAAATTAGTTGTTCGCAAATAGCCAATAAGCAGAATAAATAGTTCAATAATGTGCACTGGATCACTCGTTAGGGTATTTTAAACTTTATGCTTGTTTTGCGCGCCACAGAGAACCTCCTTTTGAAATGAAACAATATCCTCTATGGCAGTATTCCCTTCATGTATATTTTTGACAAATCATCCGTTTATCTTACCCAAGGGGTCAGGCTAAAATTTATACAGCGAGAAAATTAGATGATACTTAATTTGATGAACTGAGTTCTTGAATACGTGTTTACGATTGAAGGTAAACCTAATTTTCATTCGGTTTTCTTTGCGTTACCTGGCATACATTCACATTTGCACGGTGCCTGAGAACCTGGGCCGTTATTATTGTGTTTTGCGAAATAGCAATTGCGACAGCACGCATTACTTTGTTCGGATTGGCTAGAATAGCAAGATTATTCGTGGTTAGATGAAAGACAGTCAGAACAATCCGAAACCCGTTAAGGTGATCGTGTTTGACAACCCGAGGATACAAGGTCTTTGTTGTGGTATTTATAGACGGGTCTCTCCAATGTCTCGTGCATCGTTAACTGCTGTAGATACACTCAAACATCTCAAATCTTCCTTTGATTCAAAAAACCTTTCTGAGTCTCCTTGTAATTGCGAGATACTCATAGCCTGGTTTAATATGATCAGAAGAGAGCGGTGCAGCACTGAGAATACTGTAAACTAGGAACGCCAAGTGCCTTCATGAAAGGCTACAACGAAATAATCCGTGACTATTTCAGTAGCCTACTAATAGAGCAATGCAACCGATGATGATAGTCAAAAGAAGATCAGTTACGAGTATGCGCAGGTCTGAAATATGGATAGGTTTCATTTCATAAAAGAGATGATTTGATAAAACTGAGCCCCAAGACCTGAAACCGACGATCCTTTGGATGCAAAAGGACCACAAAAGGTTACCTGATCATCCAATTTTTTGTTTCAATAATCATTTTCTTATGGAAGCCAATGACTCCTTCGTGGTAAAATCGGGCCCACCAAACCACAGTGATTTGTATCCCCTGTTCAAATCACCACCGGTATTAGTGATTGGCAGCTTCCTCTCAAATTAAATGCACTGAATTCAGATAGACGTACTCCATCTGTGAAATGATCGGTTGTTAGTCGCTCTTCGCAATGATGCAGTGTGAATGTTTTGGGCGGGTGTTGATTTAAGCAGTTTAACTTTTAGTACACGTATCTATCTTTCACCACTTAGGCCATACAATGAGAATGTTTGTCAATAAAAGGAACTCACTCAAGCGTTTAGGCTGAAATGCACCTAAGCATCCCGGTTATGAATAGTAGACAACTACCCGGATTAGCTTCAATTTATACGTCATTCAAACCGTTTTGTTCTTTGCGTGACAACTCTGTGTTTGAGTCCTGGTCTAACTTGATGTTTTACAGCTGGCTTGACTCCAAGTGATATTTCAATGTACTGTTAAACCTTTTCAAACAAGCTCATGCATCCCGGTTGGAACGCGTCTGGATTATGTGATCCCTTTTTGGGTTTCCCAAATTTTACCACTCATTTTGTAAACTGTCGAACAGAATGACACCCTTTCCCGTGTGACACAAGTGTGAACAAGGCGAGACCGAGTAACATAGAGCAGGTCAACTGGATAGAACGGAGGAGTAACAATCTGTTTGATGATTCAGGTAGATCATGTGATCAATAGAAACCAACACATGTTGGATGAGAGGCTGAACTGGAGACAAATTAGAAGTGATTGGGTATGACATATCACTTTGCTTACTCTGTTCGTATGGAATGCCGGAGCGATCCATGATCAACCATAGTTTTCCTTTTTAAACCTTTGGGTCATGTTGTAATAATTCAAAATTGGAGAAGGGAGACACTGAATTGCACTTAACGTATAAATAACTCCCTTCTATATTATAAAATAAAACCAGATCAAACGAGAAACGAATACCGGAATGAATAAAGTTTTTGATATGAAAGCAGCCACACAATGCATATCAACACTCGCATTAGAGTTTATAAACCGCCTAAATGTCGTTTAAACTCTAATTGTTGCATACTGCGTGAACGTGTATTATCACCAGAACACTCGAAAAAATGATCACTGAATCAAATATTTTCCAAGTAGAGCATTTAAGGACAGTCCATAAGCTGATAATTGGTTAACTAGACTGAATATAACTCATCGATGGAAAATCGGACTAAATTCAATCCACGTCAGTAGCCAATTTTGAGAGGTCATTTTTCATACTTGATTGAATCACGTTAGCACAGTATTTGTCTCTTTCGGTTTGTTTCTCGTGATTGTAAACCCAAACGATACGTGTTGGATCTACCGCTACGGACGTGGTGTGTGGCGCTCTCTATTCCACCTCAGAATGAGCTGTTGGAACGATGACAATTAAGAGTCTGCATGTTTTTAACTAAGGAATATTTTCTTTGGAAAATTACTTTCCTTTATCTGAATGATATTGTCCCTGGCATTCTCATTTTTCGAATGAAGAGTAATCTGGCAGCCCGCATTTACGGTTCGGGATTGATTATACTAATACTTTTACGGCTCCATGGGTTTTTTGAATGTAAAATTCAATCTCGCGATGAATTTCATTCTATTCCTATCCAAAGAAGTGTAGAATTATACTGATCTTTATTGGATATCATCAACAGTGCGAATTCATTCACCTTCAATTAATCGCTTGGCGCCAGAGTGGACTGCTGCACTTTGTCTATGCCCAATACGGCAATACTCATCATTTTAAACTGGATGTGGTAACTGCACCCTGTCCATCATAACACTAGTTGATAGGGTTACGCTTCAATCAGAGATAGCTACAACTATGTTCCAGATCACTTCACGTTCTCTATATAACTCAGACAGATCGCCTGCAGAGGACTTGAATTAATTTTAAGTAGGCATGTTGCACATCAAAGCATGTAAATTAAATCCAGCGATAGGTTCCATTTATTTTGAAAAAAACTTTTATGTTTATCGATCAATATGGTAACTGGGAACGCTCTTTCAAACCTAGGTTCAGCGATACACTGGCGCTGTTTGAAAGGGTCCCGACTACTGTTTATTTGAGAATCCAGTTTGCGCTTCCCTATGAGATTCCATATTTAATCTTCTAATCGGTCAACAAACTCAGATTTCAGATACAACAATGGATTTTCATCTATCCACGGCTAGTTTCTTTGAAATACATCCACGATCCGAACCTCATCCTAATGATTAACATGCCCTTCTTCGCTGCTTTTATTCTCACAAAGTAATTCGCGACAAATGCAAACGTTCGCACAATGACACGCCCTGAGATAGTTACACGGACACGGTTCGTCACTTCGTAGCATAACAACTGATTGGCCACCAATTAGTGTTTTGTGAATAAACACATTGCTTGAGGTAGAGATGAACTGGTGGTATTGAGGGAAACAAGCTAGACAAAACAAAGAAGCGCCTCCTGGATTTTATCAAATGGCATACCGATACCTATTGGACAGACACAGGAGAATGATAACACGTGCAAATTACTTGACAACGAAGGATTATTCCTTAGCAACGGATTAATTTACTTTGCGGAATATATTGGCTCGTTTTTCATCTTCATGTGTATCTCTCAATATATTTGTATGCTTTAAATTGTCTGGTCCGTGTTAGATGTGAATGTAATATTTGGTACTTTGGTTGGTAGAAAACCTCAGCTTGACTTAAGAGTTCAACGGTCTGGTTGGAACGTTCTTTTTCTCTTCGTTTTTACTTCCTTTTATTGAAAATAAAAATATACAATTTTCAGGAAGGGGGAAGCAGCCAATCAAAGGGTTGCCATTGAACACGCAATGGGGAAAATCAGGCGGTTGTGGTGGGATTTGAACTCTCATCCACGGGGTGATAATTTGGTGACGTAACCATCGGGCCACCACCGTTGTGCTTGCTAGACCCCAGACTTGCAATCCAGATGCAGCGAACGTAAATGAACTCACTTTCCGACCGATTTATCGATTAATTGGCTGGCTCATTCATTCATTAATGCTCTTCTGTCATTTGCAAATAATCAGCAAACTACAGTTTGATAATGAACAAACTGAATTGCATTCCATGTAATTCTCATTTTTATGTTCTGATATTTTTGAATTCATCAGAGCCTAATTCATATCTGCGTGGTTTTCACTGTGCTTACGGTTTTTCCATTTCTCCACTTTTAGTCGGGTACACACACACGAAAACGAAACACGTTTCAATCAACCCCGTCACGTGATCACCTGTGCACGTTTCAGTCATGTCAACCGAGAACGAAACTGTTCCGCTAAACTGTTCCCAACGGTATGCACTCAACCAGACTGATCTGGATCCGGTCTCTATCAATGCCCGATATCAGACATGCGAATTCTTGGCCGTATTCGTACCGAACATTCTCACCCTGGTCCGATGTCTGATGCTGATCTGGCTCATTACTGGTCTGTTTGGAAACACACTTTCCCTGGTTATCTGGACCACAAAACATCAGCGTCGTAAAAACACATCCGCAATCTATCTCAGTGCACTGGCTGCCACAGATCTAACCCTTATTCTATGCTTGTTAAATTATCATTTGGAACGTTACTGGTGCGTTCGTGGAATTACGTCGTTTCCCGGATTGTGTCAAATCTATCAGTGCTTGAGTATATTCTCCCAGTACTATTCCACCGCCTTAGTATTTGGATTCACTCTGGAGCGTTATTTGGCAGTGTGTTTTCCATTCAAACGACACAAATTATGTACTCCAAAACGAGCGCTGATTGCCGTCCTTTGTCTACTCGTCGTTTGTTGTGTTCCTATGTTATTCCAAGCTGCCCTGTGGACCTTTGAGGACGGCGAGTGCACAATGCGTACCAGTATGATACAAGACAATCGTGTCACGGAAACTCTGGCTGCTCAGGAGGTCATATTCTCGCTGATCATACCCTTGGCAGCCCTGATATTTAATATTCTTGTACTGTTCGAAATGCGTCGCCTTATCCATTCCCGAGCGGTTCCGTCACATTCAATCTCAGGCAGGAACGGGACTACACAATCAAAAGGCAGTTTAAAACTGCGCAAGTCCAGCTCGTACAGTGTTGCATCTGTCGGATCTGGACAGACCAATCCGAACACACCAGATTCAAAATCCCGTGAATCGTCCAGTTTCACCGCAACCACAATCATGTTGGTGATCCTGTCATTCTATCTGATCGCGTGTGCCGTGCCTCCTGGGATTGTGTACCTGACACAATTCTATTTACCGGTTCCGGATGAATGTTTGACCGCAGAAGCAGCTCTATGTGATCCGATGTGGCAACAGATTATCAACCAGACTACTGTGAAAGAAATCATCGATGTGCTGTGTGCCTCACATTATGCTTTGAACTTTTTCATCTACATTCTAACGTACAAAGGATTTCGTGAACATGCTGTGTGGATTCTTACATGCAGAGTTTCTAAACTACGACGGTTATATCGACACAAGCAAGACAAACTATTTTTACCACGTCGAACCGCTCCGAGACTGGCCAGTATGCTGACAACGTCGACAAACGATGAGGATAAACAATTGTTCCAATCGAATCACAGATCTTCAGTTAATAGACAAACAAATTCGATAAGCTGATGTACAGTCCACGGAAATTAGGAATCGGGCAGATTATTCGCTCCCACCCCCGCAAACCTTAGTCCACTTTGTCGTGATACGTTCACATTTGAGTGTGTGTATGTTTATTTAAATCCCGTTTTTGTTTTCCTGTCACATTGAGTGATCAGTACAAAACCGAAATGATACAGATGAAACTTTTGCTGTTTTCTACTCCCAAACAGACAAATCCATCAGATTATTATCAAGGTGTGATATATCCTCATGGCACAACGCGTTCAATTTCCCCCAAGAAACTGTCAAATTCGAAGTTCATTTGGCATCAATCTCCCTATTCGACCTGAGCTTAATCTCTGGCATTCAATTTCCCGAGTGCGAACCGTCACACTCATCATTTATCGTGCTCTTCGTTGACCCAGTTCCATCGAAAATGTCACTTCCCTCAAACAATCACTGGAATTCTTTACCAGTATCCGATCGATTACTGACCTGACACAGAACTACGCNTACATGCGTGAGAACGATTTAGATCCTCGTCGATTTGTACATATTCCTATTTTTAACGATGCCACTCCCCCCCCCCCAGGGCTTGTACGTGTGATTGTATTCCGTATCCCATTCCCATCACAATCATACTATTTTCTCATGTTCATAACGCTATGCTATGTTGTTTGCCTCAGTAAGCGAGAGAATGGAGTAGATTGAGAGTGAGAGAGGAAACAGAAAGGGATGTGGTCCAAAGGGTACTTCGTCTGGATGTGACGTTCTGTGGTGCCAAAGTGAACCGTTAATTCTGTGTGAACACTATGGGCCTACACGAGCAGAAGAGGACCGTAACTCGTTTCACATATCCAAATTCATGTCCATTAAGTGTACATACATACATAGATAGGATGTCTGTCGTCCAATCCAGCAATACGCGTATCTTACTGGGGCAGTATGTGGTTCGCGTCCCTCTAAGTTTCGTGGGTCCACTTTATCGGTTTTCAGGAGTGAACGGTGGGATCTTATGATTGCGGAATTGACCCCGTTTCCTGTTGAAGTAAAACATGGGATACTGATGAAAACTCCAGCATATGAAAGGTTCTTAGTATGTGATAAGTATTATTACTTGTGAAGACCGTAGTAGGTGAGAACTACCATAGAGACGATTATGAAGCTAATGGTACTCAGTCGATTCACATGACAATAGACGATTCCTTGCACCCGCGTTCCGATTGAAGTACAAATATGGGCCACTGAATGTGAATGCAATGGGAAAATGTAATTAACTGCATACCCGGTCTATCATTGTTAAGACACCAATCAAATCCACGGTCAAAAAGTAGTTACGCAATTAAAGCGACTGGAGAAGGAGCTGATTCCATTATTTGAAAATTCAGAGAGGAAACGAGACTCACGTGAAACAGGGTGTGTAAATACATATAGTATGAAACAGATTGAAATTAATAGTTTTGCTGTGGTAACTAGATTCTAAATCAAGCCGCGGCAAATAATATAACAGATGGACACTCGCGTGTATCACATCATACGTGAAGGAGATCAACCAAAATCAGCATTCCAGCCCTCAGATTTTCGAGAATTTCGCAATGGTTCCATTTAATTTCACAAGACCCCATGTATTCGCTCATGCTCTTACGAATCCTGAAGTCGTATGAGTTAGCATGAAGCAAAATAGGTTGGTTTCCTGTAGCGATCACAATTGAACGATAACAATTATTATTATTAAACATACCCTTTTATATTTTTATTGCACAGTAGAAAGGGAAATCCCCTTTGAACAAACAGATAACTGTAAAAAGGAGAGTAAGAAAACGTTCACTTAAGATCTAGTCTACTGTTTTCTACGTTTAAAAAGTGTACGATTTTAAGTTAGCAGAAAACAGCAAGTAGGAGGGTGTTCCAAAGTCTGACAGTTTGAGGGATAAAATTACATTGGAGCCGAGGGGTACGACATCTGAGAACAGAAACCTGCTAAGGATGACTGGACGCTTGTATACGGTCTGAGTGGGTAACAGCTGCAGAAAGAGGAACTACCGAGGCAAGTTCCGAAGAACAAAAACCAAAGCAGTAGCGGCAGAACAGGGACAATGAAGCAACTGCTCACAGATGGGCTAGCGACTGCAGACTGGATGTTAGGGAAGGATCATCGATTAGCTGTACGGTCTTTTGTTGAACACGATCAAGAAGGTAAAGGGAAGAAGACCAAGCTCCACCCTATACGTGACCACAGTATTCAAGAGCGGGGCGGATTCGAGCTCTGTACAATAGAAGAAGAAGAGCTGGGGTGAAGAAACGTCTGGCCCAAAATAGAAATCTAAACTTGCGCGCCGAAAGAAAGACTAGCTGAGCCATAAAAGGGGACCAGCATAAAGAAGTTATGAACAATCTGAGAAGGGAAAGAGAGTTTGTGGTACGCAGTTGGGTGGAATTAAAAAACAAATGAGGGGGGCAGAATGAACGGTGTTTTAAAGAAATCGAAGAAGAAGAGAGTTTTTGGAACTATTGGATGAAACGTGGTTCAGTGTGTTCAAGATTGGAGTCCAGTAACACATTAAAGGCACTGATATCATCATCGATGTTGGTTTTGGGCGTGGCAAGCAGTGCGGTAGGATAAGGCGCAGCAGAGGATGACGTCATAAGCAAAAGAATGGATCGGGTTGACAGTTTGGGAAAGGACATCATTGATGAATAGAAAGAACAGGGAGGGCGCAATTACTGAACCTTGGGGAACACCAGCGTTCATAGGGAACGGTTGAGATAAAACCCCATCAATTCGGACGGAGATGGTTTGCTTACTGAGCAGACTTGATATCCACGCTGGGAGCGCCGGAGGGGAACCGAACATGAGTAGTTTCGTCAGTAGACTTTTGTGCCAAACTCGGTCGAAGGCCTTTGAGATGTCAAGCGAGAACAAGTGTGTGTTCCTCAGTGGTTATCGAGTGACGCTGATCAGGATTGTGAGACGAGAGCCAGCAGGTCACCGGTAGAACGACGCTGTCGGAAGCTATATTGGCGGTCGCTCAGTAGTCCATCACGTTCAAGTAAAGTGCCTAGCTGACCAAAGATGATAGTTTCAAATGCTTTCGAAAGAAGAGATGCGAGAAAAATGGGTCGGAAATTGTTGAGGTCAAAAAGGTCGCTGCTTTTGGGAATGGGAAAAATCATGGTGTGTTTCCAGGTGTTCGGAAAGGAGGAAGTTTGGAGGGAAAGAGTGAAAAGATGACGTAAAATAGAAGCCAGCTCGGAAGCACACATTTTGAGAACGATAGGGAGAATACTGTCCGGACCGGGTGGTTTGTTTGCATTTAGAGAGCACAATGTTTGATGGATTTTCCTAGTGCTTATACGAGGTAGAAAAGAGTTGCCAGTGAAAAAGGAAGAAGATGGTGGTGAAGAAAACTGGCGTAAGGTGAAATTGGCCGCAAACTGGGAAGCAGAAACCTCTGCTTTCTCGTGTGATTGATATACAAAATCTTCAGAGGTATTACAGATAAGGGGGAGTTGAAAAGGTAGAAATTCTGGGAAATTGCTTTGGCATGGGACCAAAATGTTCGGCTACCGGTGGCGGCCGAGACCACGTTTTCGGCGTTGCGGCAAACGAAGTGTTCTTTGGTTCTCTAAATGGTCGTCGGGCATTTGTTCCTAGCTTGCACGAAGCGATAGTGGGAGGAGGGGATGGGCCAGCGGCGGAAGGCTGAACGCTTTAGCTGTACAACACGGTCACATGCATGGTTTAACAGCACAGGGGATTTGGGTTTGCCGGGTTGAGAAAAGTGCGTAATAAACAGATGCACACCTTGAAGAACAACATCAGTGAAGTTGGGAACAGATTTGGAAAAATCCGAAATGGAACAGCAATCGTTCCAGAGATAAGCAGCTAGGAAATTACGGAAACCGTCCCAGTTGGTTAAGTTGTAGCGCCAGAATGTGTCTTCAGTTGGGTGCTTGTTCCGGATTTGAAAATCGAATAGGCTAAGAAACAATACAGTGATCTGATGAGCCAAGAAGAGGAAGGGTATCAATATGTGGGATGGAAGAACGGACCGAAGTGCGAATTAGATCGAGGGTGTGGGCACGATCGCCAGCTCGATCAGGGACACGTGTGAGGAGGTTAACTAGTTGCCTCAGGTTGTTGATCAAAGAGCAGTGTTCTGGGTCGCACCCCAAAGAAGACATTGCAGATAAATGTGTCAATCAGTCTTGATTGTGAATGCGAAAATATCCCAATAAGGTTACATGATAGTTGGGGTCAGTCACAAGTGTTCAAATGTTCAATGTTCAAGTGTTCAATGTTCAAAGATAAAAAATCAAAGATGGAAGAGTAGCCACTGCTAGGGAAACAGTACAGAACACAAAAGTAATGATTAAAGCAAGAAAGTCAGAGTTTCAGCCACATCAGCTGAAATTCACGATTGGAAAAGTCAATATTTGGGATCCTCGAGGCGGCGATTGGTTGATGAATAAAGTTGCACAGACCAGCTTCGGATAAAGAGGAGAAATGGGGAGTGGAGCTGGAGAGTTGAAGGTGGGTGGTATCTGACGAGGGGGGATTTTTGTTTCGGTCAAAAAAGGGCGAGTGGAGAAGAAGAATTGAAAGAAAATAGTGTACAGATTCAATATTGCGGTCCAGTCCGCGAAGGTTGGCAAAGGTGATGAGTGCATGATTGCAGTGTGAGCGCGTAGAGCGAACGAGAGTTAGTGAGCTTTTGTGATTTTGTATTCTCATATTTATGTTATGATAAAACCTGCAACCATGATCCTGAAATCTGGAATGGCGGACTACATAAGGCTTCAATAGAAAGACGTGGTAGTGAGCCGGGTGACGGCAGAGCCGCGTACCACCTAATTACTTACAGCTGATTCCAGAATCTTTAGACGAGTCAGTGTTGTAAACAGGTTAAACGATCAATTGAAGAAATCTACTCCGAAGAGTTCGAAATTTGCTTGTTCCACGATTGTATGTGTGCTGGAATTACCACGGTAAAAGTTTATTGCACTCCCACATCAAGCGGTCACGG